GGTTCCAGCAGGGCGACGTGCTACCCAGAGTCAACGCACACCTCGCCATCCCTGGGGGGATGCGATCTGCGATATTGTCGCCACGTTCGGGTGTTGTTGGGGGGTCCAGCGGAATGACGTGTTACGCAGATCCAGACAAGACCTCGCCATCCCCGTATGGTTGCGATCTGCGAAAGTGCCGTCACGTCCGAACGGGTGTTATGGGGGGTTGAGCGGAGTGACGTGCTACGCAAATTCCAGATTCGGTGTCGCCACTCCTGCGGGGCTGTGATCTTCGAAATTGTCGCCACTTCACAGGGCTGCTGGGGGTCCGACGGAGTAACGTGCAACGCAGATCCCAGTGGGGCTGCGATCTGTGAAACTGCCGCCACTTTCGAAGGCTGCTGGGGCCCAGCAGGGCCGTGTGTTACCCTTGATTGTTTTATATATATATATATACATAAAGAGAGAGACACAGAGAGAGAGAGAGAGAGAACAAAACAGAGAGAGAGAGAGAGAGACCCTCGCCTTTCCTGTGGGGTTGCGATATGCGGGAAAGCCGCCACTTTCGATGGCTGCTGGGGAGTCCAGCGCACTGACGTCCTACGCGCCTTCAACTGAGGCCTCGCTGTCCCTGGGGGGCTGCGATCTGCGAGACTCTCGCCACGTTCGGAGGCTGCTTGGAGGGCCCAGCGGAGTAACGTGCTACGCAGATCCGAATGAGACTTCCCATCCATTGGGGGCTGCGACCGGCAAACTTGTTATCACGTTCGGGGGGTGCTGGGGGTCCAACAGGGCGACGTGCTACCCAGAATCAACGCACACCTCGCCATCCCTGGGGGGATGCGATCTGCGAAATTGCCGCGACATTCGAAAGCTGCTGGGGGGTCCAGCGGGGCGACATCCTACTCATATTCAAACAGCTGCCACGTTCGAGGGCTGCTGGGGGGCCCAGCTGAATGACCCCTCGCCCAGATTCAGATTCGGCCTCGCCATCCATGTGGGTTGCGATGTGTGCAACTGTCGCCGCATTCGAGGCTTGCAGTGGGGTCCAACGGAGTGGTGTGCGGGCTGCCAAGAAACCTCGCTATCCTTGGGAATCTGTGATTTTCGAAACTGCCGCCGCTTTCGAAAGCTGCTGTGGGGTCCAACGGAGCGACGTCTCACCCGGATTCTGATTAGACCTCGCCATCCCCGCATGCTTGCGATCTGCGAAACTGTCGTCACTTCAGAGGGCTGCTCGGGGTCCAGCGGCGTCACGTGCTACGCAAATCCAGACTAGACATCGCCATCTCTGTGGGGCTGCGATCTGTGAAACTGCCGCCATTTTCGAAGGCTGCTGCGGGGTCCAGCGGGGTGACGTCTTACGCGGACTACCAAGACACCTCCCCGTCCTGAGGGGGAGGTCGATTTCCGAAACGGTCGCCACTTTCTAAGGTTTCTGGGTTGTCCAGCGGACTGACGTCTTACGGGGACCACCAGGAGATCTCGCCTTTTCCTGGGGTCTAGCGGAGTGAGGCTTTTTTTTTTTTTTTTGTTTTTTAAATGTCACCTGGGCAACGACCGTGGACAACTTCCCGATGATACGCGACCCTGGCCTGAATTTCCTGGCCCGCGGGCCGCCCGCAGACTTGCTGGCGCGCCTTCCAGCCTTAAGCTCCCGCACTGAACACGAAAAAAAAGGAAAAAAGGGAGGAAGCAGGGAAGCTGGCGGGCGAGCTACGCTTCGCTCGCTTCTTGCGCTAAGTATAAGCAGGTTTAACCCTGGTTTTCGAGCGACGCGGCGGCATGGCGCAGGCAGCGCTGCATCTTCAGCAAACTACCGACAAGAGCAACACCCTTCCGTCTCCTCCCGTCACTTTCGTTCTCGTCATCTGCGCCATGCCACCTTCCCTCTGCTGCCCCCGCGCTGACGGTTCGGCCCCTCACGCGTCTTTCTCCTACCCTTCGTTCCCTCCCCATGTCAACCCCAAGCCTTGGCCCTCGTTCCTCCTCTTTATGTTGTTGTCCTGTGAATCGTGCCACGTGAGCGCATCCTGTATAGCTTGCACAACATACAACGGCGACTGCACTCTCATTGTCTTCGTAAGTGTGAGCCAACTCCTCTTGTCACTTGATGCACATGGGCCCGGTACGTCGCAAGGTAATTGTCTGTCTCGCTCTCTCTCTCTCTCTCCCGCTCTCGCGAAATCTATCAGTTTCTCGTTCTCTCCCTCTCGCTCTCTCTCTCTCTCTCTCGTCTCTCTCTCTCTCACTCTCTCTTTTGCTCTCTCTCTCTCTCTATCTTTATCGCTCGACCTCAATCCTTCCATCTCTCTGTATGCGTCAAAGTGTATAGTATGTACAGCTCTCCCTCTCTCTCTCTATCCATATATTCCTCTTTCTGTCGGTGTTCATGTTGTTGCTTCTCTCTCTCCCTCCTTCCTCTCTGCCTCTCGTGACGCCTCCCTTCTCCGTCCCTTGTATACAACAGATATGCTCAAAAACTGCCCTAAATCTCTCCGGGCTCCATCCTGGTCATCTGCTCGAGCTGCGCCCAGCCGTGACAATGAAGGGGATCAGCGGAGGCTCTTACTCTTAGAAGCCGCGCTCCTCTTCCTCCTATTCCTCCACAGAGAGGGAAGCAGACACACACACACAACACACACATGCATGTATGTTTATACTCACATACACAGAAAGGAAGAGAAAGAAAGAGAGAGAATGAGAGAGACAGAGGGAAACAACATGAGAGGAACAGGAGAGAAACCGAGGACAGAGAGGGAGGGCGAGAGAGAGAGAGGGAAGAAGACACACACACACAAAACACACGCGCATGTATGTTTATACCCACATACCTAGAAAGGAAGATGAAGAGCGATAGAGATAGAGAGAGAGAAAGACAAACAACACATGAGAGGAAGAGGAGAGAGAGAGAGGACAGAGAGGGAGGGCGAGAGAGAGAGAGAGGAAAACAGACACACACACACACACAACACACATGCATTCATGTTTATACTCACATACATGGAAAGGACGAGAAAGAGCGATAGAACGATAAACAAAGCATGAGAGGAAGAGGAGAGAGACAGAGGACAGAGAGGGAGGGCGAGCGAGAGAGAGGAAGTGAAGCAGACACACACACACACAACGCACATGCATGTATGCTTATACTCACCTGCATAGAAAGGATAAGAAAGAGAGAGAGAGAGAGAGAAAGAGGGGGTGAGAGAAAGAAAAACCACCTGAGAGTAAGAGGACAGAGACAGAGGACAGAGAGGGAGGGCAAGAGAGAGAGCGAGAGGCGCAAAGAGGGCCAGAACGAGAGCTCCTGAATATCGTCCTCCTGTGATACTGGAGACAGTCCGATGGCGGTGACGGCGATGTTTCACCACGGTCTGTGGCAGCGTGGCTCACGGCTCGTGCGTTTGAGCCAGCATCCGCGCGCGACTGCCGTGTCGTCGTCGTCGCCCTCCCCCCCCCTGCTCCTCATCCTCCTCCTCCTCCTCCTCCTTCTCCTCAACCACTAATATACGTTTGAAAACCACGATCCTCTCTCCGCTGACTCTGTCTGGAAGTTTTGCGGTCCTCTCCGCGTACTGTGTCTTTTTTCTCAATCAGGTGTTCAAGCATAGTTTTTTCGACATGTTTCGAACTGGCACTCCCGCTGCAGCGTGGGCCTCATTTTCGGATCGGCGCTGTGCTCCCATCGATCACAATAGCGCTCTCGCCCCAGCGCGGACCACTTATCAGGATCGGAGTTTTTTTCATCGTTGTCGCCCCCCTGATTTCCCCTCCTCCGCCTTCCCATGGTCCTACTGCCCCTCCCACTCCAATTCCTGCTTCTGCAGTTCGTCCTCGTCCTCCTTCTTCCTCATCCTCCTTTTCCTACTGCTCATCCTCCTGCTCACCCGCCACGTCCTCCTCCGCCTCCTACCACTGTCTACGCAGCTCACTTTTTCCGACTGCCACACGCTAAGATCTTTTTTGAAGTTCCAGGTCAACCATGAAACGCGTCCGCGAATAGAGACAAAATGGGGAGGGGAGGGGAATTGGATGGCAGAAGTGGCGCGGGCACAGCTGGCTTGTCCGCCTCCCCTCTCCCTCCTCGCCCACCCCTCTTCTTCCTCGCTCCCCCCTCCCTCCCTCCTCCATCCTTCCCCTCCTCCTCCCTTCCCTGCCTCCCCGCCCTCTCCGTTCATCCGTCCCTCCTGCCTCCCCCCTCGCGGGCGCGCGAGAGCGGCGCCGCTCCGCCCTCCGAGGGGAGGCGACAGCCAGCCGGCTGCGTCGTGACTACTGCGATTGCCCAGGCTGTAGCCTGCAACGGGCCGCCAAAACGAGGGGCGCGCGGGTGATGCGCTGACGGAATCAGCTGCCCGTGCGGCAGGTTCGTGTCGTGACGACGGTTGCGTTGGTCCCTGACGCCGCGTGGATAATTCAACCTTGAACGGTCCGGGCCTGCCGGCAACAAAAAGCGTCCGATGCCAGCCGGCACCAGGCCACCGGCGGCGGCCAACCCCGAACGCATCCGCCGGGGCCGCCCCCGTGTCAACGAGACGCAAGCCTACCGTTGACCTCTCACTTTGACTTCCGCCGACCGGCCGCCGAAGGCAAGACGCCACGAAGGCGAGTCCCTTTCTGGAGCACGCGCTTTGCGATCGGAATCAGCTGCCCGTACCTCGTAGACACAAGTCGGAACGTTAGCGAATCAGCTGCAAGCGGCCGGTTTTCCTGGCGCCTCCTGGCGCCAGGGACAAACACTGGGCGGCCGAGCCAAATCAGCTGCATGCAGCAACTCTCGTAACCCGCCGCTGCCTTCCCCAATGCCCCCTGTCGCCCAAAATGTGCCGTCGGAGACAGCTGCCCGTATCTCGTGGACGCGTCTCGACACGCTATGGCAATTTCACCCCGTCACGGTGGACCCAACCTTGAACGCCGCGCTGGGGTCGCCGCTTCGTCCACGCGACCGCACCTCGAGGGGCACAGGTCAGCACGGAAGGGCGACTGCACCGCGGCCCAGAGCAGCAGTCGCAGCTGGCGACCGTGGCCAGCGCCGCGAGCAGCACGGACAGGCACGTGCCCGCCGAGAACGCAGCCAGACCTCGGCTCGGCTCGCCGCGGCCGCCGCCGCCTCCGTCGTTGCCGCCGCCGCCGCCCTCGTCGGTCGGTGGTCGGCAGTCGCTCGTCGCTCGCCTCTCGCCATCGTCGGCGCCAACCCGCTCCTCCAGGCCTCGGCTCGGCTGCGGCCGCCGCCGCAGCCGTCGAGGCCACGGCTCGCTGCCGCCGTAGATGTTCGAGGCAGAAGGCTTGCATATCGAAGTGCTTGGAAGCCCGCCTGCGGCTCTTTCTGGGCCTCGCGAAGGCTCCGGGGTTCCTCCAGGGTGCCATCTGGGGCCTCCGGAGGCCTCCAGAGGAACCTAGCTCGACGCGGCCGCAGCAGCCGAGATGCTCTGCCGGTTCGTTCAGCTTTTCCCCTTGACGAACCACGAACAGCTCCCTCGAGCAAGCCTGCATCCCCTGAGCTTGCCGCTTGCAGCGCCGATTAGAGTTTTCGGGCCTCGCACAGACATCCGAAAAACAAGGGCCATCGATCCTCGTCCCTCGACGACGACGACGTCTCCGCGTGCCGACGAGCGCGCCGAGGGACGCCGAGGGCCCGCCGAGGGCCAGCGACAGCGGCGGCGTCCGGCGGCCGCCAGCGAGTCGGGTGCGCCGAAGAGGGGTGCCGGGAAGATGGGGGCTCATGGACCATGGCCCGAGGCATGTGTGCGGACGAGGGGGCGCCAACGGACGTCTCGAATTGAGAGGAGGGGCCAAGAAAATGGGGAGATGTCGTGGCCCCGGCCATGATATCCACACCTCTTCTAGTCCTCCCCCCCCCACCCTTGGACGCCCCCGAGGGCTAAGCCCCGCGCTCCCAGGGGCGAGCCGCAGGGAGCCCGCGCCGGGCCGCAGCTCGAACTGCTTGCGAAACTTCACCCGGTGGGAGGGGTCCGCGCCGGTCATGTCCTGCGGACACGGGTGGGGTGGGGGGGCCAAGGATGGCGCGAGGGGGAGCAGGAGGGGGAGGAGGGGGAGGGAGAGGAGGAGGAGAGGGGGAGGAGGAGAGGGAGGGAGGAGGGAGGACAAGCAGGACAGGAGGGCGCTAAGACGGCGGCAGGGTTGTGCAAAATAAATTCGACCCCTTCCGCCGCTACGCCTGCCGACGCTCGGCTTCCCGAGCCTCGGCACCCAGCGCCAGAGGGCCTCGGCGGCAGGAGGAGGGGTTGGATGGAGGAACAAGGAGGTCGGAGAGGGGTTGTCAAAACAAAGAAGAGGGGACGGGGGAGGGAGCGGCGATGAGGCAGGAGGGGGAGGACAGAAGGGCGCGCGAAGGCGGTGGAGGAGAGGGTGTGGAGGAGGGGGAGGGAGGAGGACGGGAGAGGGAGGGGAAAGCGGAATAGGAGACAGAGGAGAAGAAAAGCAGGGGTGAAGGAGGAAGAAGAGGGATGTGGAGGGGTATCAAAGGTTCTAGGTCCTAGGCAGGTCTAGGGAGGCCATGGAGGCTTATGCCCACGAGGCATAATAATAAGGAGAAAGAAATGGACGAGGCAGGGAAAGAGGACGGACGACCATGAGCGTTTAACGATGGCGAGCTAGATGACTCGGAGACACCGCGATGCGCCACCTGACGCGACTCCTGGACCTCCTTCTTCTCCTAGTCCATCGACTCCTCCTCGTCCTCCGCCTCCTCAACTCGCCTCTTCGAGGCGTCGTCGTCCTCCATTTCGTCGTCATCGTCGCCATCACATCATTGCCATAACACTGAGTATAACCATGACTATGACCGTGTCCATGAACATGACCATCGTCATCATCATCAACATCAACACCATACTCATCATCATCATCATCATCATCATCAGCATCATCATCATCAGCATCATCAACATCATCATCGTCACCATCATCATTAGCATAGCCAGCGTCATTGTCATCACCATCATCATCATCATCATCATCATCATCACCATCATCATCATTAACATCATGGTCGTCAGCAGCAGCAGTTGCAGCATCACCATCGTCACTATCACAACCATCATCACCATCACCATCACCATCACCATCATCATCATCGTCATCATCGTCGCCCGTATCAACATCAGCATCAGCATCCTCACCATCACCATCATCATCATCATCATCATCATCATCATCACCATGAGCATCATTACCACCACCATCATCATCAGCAGCACCATGATCATCATCATGACCCCCCCCCCAACCACCACCACCATCACCATCACGATCACCATCACCAACGCCATCATACTCAGCATCATAATCATCATCATCATCATCAGCATCATCACCTATGTCGTCAGCAGCAGTAGCAGTTGCAGCATCACCATCATCAATGCCGCCATGATTATGATCACAATCAGCATCGTCATCATCATCATCAGCATCATCATCATGTTCATCATCACCATCATGATCACGTCATCCTCCTCCTGGTCCTGCGTCCCCTCTTCCTCTAAACCGACCTCCTGCTGGTAGCGCCCTCTTGCATGTGAGCGCAATGACATTTCCTGGACGTCGACGGCGCTGGACGCGGCGAGGACGGGAGATTTCCGAGGGGGTCGGATGAGACGAGGCGTCAAGCGAGATCCCAAGTTTGAAAAAAAGACCGCCCCATCTGTTTGCACACGCTTGCACGTATGGCCATGGTCTTCGAGGACGTCTCAAACGAGAACCCACATTTACGAAGTAGCCACCCTGCTACATCTGCTCAAGCTTCGGATCTGATATATTCAACACAAACCCAACTCTAAAAGGGAACCGTCGTACGTCAACTTACCAATTGCAAGCTTCCAGGATGAATGTGCGCAGCGCGAAAGCAAGGGCCTCATTCTGGCCTGATGGCCACCACCCTCCATCCGTGAAGCTGGTGCAAGCTTTTAAAACGATTGTGCGCGGCGCCATGGCGAGTGCGCATTTGGAACACCGTCCCCTTCATCCGTGAAACTGCTGCGAACATTCGAAATGCATGTGCGCGGCGATAATGCGGGAGTCCATCTTGAAAACAACCCCTTCCATCCTAGCAGCTGTTGCGAATTCCAAGCTTCAGGATCACGGATTGTGGGGACGTCTCGGGCAAAGCGCCTGGCCCGCCCTATTGCCACGTCCATGTGTGCGACAGGGAGCATTTAGTTATAAGGACAAGGGAAGGAAAAGTAGTGTGATTGAGGGAGCAAGAGGAGGAGGATGAGGAGGAGGAGGAGGAGGAAGAGGAAGGAGGAGGAGGAGGAGGAGGAAGAGGAGGGCGCAGAGAAGGAGGAGGAGGAGGGAAGGGCTCAGAGGCTCGACCTGATCTTGCCCGTATGTATCACTCCATCAGACCCTCCAGAGTCGAGAGAGACGGAAGTGGGAAGGAAGGGAGTGAGGGAGAGGGAGGAGGATATTGAAAAGGAGAAGGACAGCGACGAGGACCTTGACCTTCGGTTCGCGGGGGCGAAATAAAGGAGGACTAACGGAGGAGAAAGACAGTGAGAACAGAGGGAAGCAGGGAGGGAGGAGGTAGGGCGGGGGGGGAGGAGGAGGTGACTGCACTGAAGGAGTCGCCGACCCCCCCCCCCAGCGAGTGCGCGCGCGCGGTGGTCGGGATCCCTCCTGGATGACGCAGCCGCGCCCGGCGCTCTCGCAGCAGAACTTCCTGCGGCGGCGGCGGCGAGGATGACGGCCACGGAAGCGGCGACGATGACGAAGACGAGGTGGACGATGGCAAGGGCGAGGAGTACGACAAGGACGACGACGAGGACGCCAGCGAGGAGGACGTCGAGGACGGGGACGGCGACGAGGAAGACGACGGGGAGGACGAGAAGGACGTTGAGGATGATGAGGGCGAATGACGCCCTCTTCATCTTCCTGGTCGTCGCGGACCTCCTCCTCCTCCACCTCCTCCTCCTCCTCCTCCTCCTCCTCCTCCAAGCCGGCTTGGTCCCCCTCATCCTCCCACCCTCCTCCCTTAAATCTTATTATGCGCCTGCTCTTTCTAATCCCCCTTGGCCCTTCGCCTCCAATTCCTGCGCTTTGCTTTCCCGCCTTCTTATTTTATGCGCTTTCCTTCTCCCCACTTCACAACCGTTACCGTCCATAATCGATTTCCTTCTCTGGACTGGAGTTGAATATTCCTGCTCCTTCCGGCCATCTGTTTCCTTATCCTCCTCCTCCTTTGGCCGGACTTTGCGCACGAACTCCCAATACCTATACGACCACCCTTCGGGTGATGAGGAGGTTCGGGGAGGGGGGGGAGGAACCAACGTCTTACTCGATCGGTCTCACTATCGATCTCACCAAGGGTCTCGCTCGATCGATCTCACTCGATGGATCTCAAAATCGATCTCACTCGATCTATTTCATTCGATCGATCTCACAATCGATCCGACTATCGATCTCACAATCAATTTCACTATCGATCTCACTATCGATCTCACAATCGATATCACATTCGGTCTCGCTATCGATCCCACTATCGATATCACAATCGATTTCACAATCAACGCCATCAACATCAGCGTCGTCAACGTCACCAGCATCATCATCATCGGGACACCATCATCATCATCCTCACCTCATCACCATCACCATACACATCATCATCATCACCATCATCATAATCGGGACACCATCATCAGCACCATCATCACAATCAACATCGTGGCACCACCAACATCATACCATCATCAACATGAACAACATCATCAGCATCATCACCATCGGGACACCATCACCGTCATCAGCAACATCAACATCATCAAAATAATCATCAGCATCATACCATCATCATCGCCACCATTATCATCCCCATCATCATCATCATCAGCAGCAGCAGCATCATCATCATCGGGACACCATCATCATCAGCATCAGCATCATCATCACCATCATCGGGCCACCATAATCAAAATCATCAGCATCACCTCGCGATCATCCTCATCATCAACATCAGCATTATCATCGGGACACCATCATCAACATCATCATCAACATCATTATTATCATCGAGACACCATCATCAGCACAATCATCATCAACAGCATCTTCATCAACCTCATCATCATCGTCGGGTGATCATCATCATCCTCTTCATCATCGCTATCATCTCGTCAGCATCATCAACATCATCAAAATCGGGACACCATCATCATCATCAGAAACATCACCAGCATCAACATCATCATCATCGCGACACCATCATCATCACCACCATCACCATCACTGTCGCCATCAACATTGTCACCATCATCATCACCATCATCACCATCATCATCATCATCATCATCGGGACACCATCATCACCACCATCACCATCATCATCAGCATCACCAACATCATCGACATCATCATCATCATCATCATCAGCATCAGCATCAGCATCAGCATCATCATCATCATCATCATCATCATCATCATCATCATCATCATCATCATCATCATCATCGGGGCACCGGCGGGACACCGGCGGGACACCGCGGGCCACTGGCCCCCAGAAGGGAATCATTTGGTCCGGCCGCGCCTCAGCCGGAGGCGGAACACCGGCGGGACACCGCGGGCTACCGGCCCCCGGAACGGCGTCATTTGGTCTGGCCGCGCCTCAGCCGGAGGAGACTTTCTTCTCGCCCGCCCACGCAGCCTCGCCTCGCCCGCACACACGGCACGCACGAACACGAAACCGTAACCGATTTCCGGGTAGGGGCCCCGGGGCTCTCCGTTCCACTTCGATCTCACCCCCTCACCTCCGATTCTTACAAACCATGCCGATCGGAAAATTGGCGAAGCGGACTGTTGGAGAAGTCCCGGCCACTGAGAATCGCCCCACTACTCGGTAGCGAAGCCCTCCTAACCTTCCCCTCCCCTCTCCTCCCGCCTTATCCATCCCCACCTTTTCTCCCCTTCCCTTGCCCCCCTCCTTCTCCTCCTTCTCCTCCTCTCTCCCCTCCTCCATCCTCAGCCATCCAACATTCACATCTCCCCCCCGGAGGGAGAGGAGTAGAATGAGGAGGATGACGCCGCCCAGGGGCGTGAAGAGGTGGAGGGTAGGAGGAGGAGAACGAGGAGGACGAAGAGTAGATACATCAGCGATGCTGCAATGGTACCGGCCCTTCAAGAGTCCCACCCTCAGGAGGTCTATTCAGGATCCAGGGTTGCGACCCTTCCCCCCTCCCCTCCCAAAGTGCATATGGGAACGAGCCCCCCCCACTGCCGCTGGATGGGCACGCCCGTGAACCGCGCGGCGAAGGCCTCGCGAATGGGATCGTCTCCCCCCCCTGTGGTCGTGGCCCTGTGGGCGTGGCATGGTGGAGGGTGCCACTGCACCCCACGCCCTTCCCGTGTGGGTGTGGTGTGGTTCGTCGTCGTCGTCGGTCGTCGGTCGTCCGTCGTCCGTCGTCGTCCTCGTCGTCTTCATCGTCGGCGTCGTCGTCGTCGTCGGCGGCGGCGTCGGCGTCGGCGTCGGCGTCGGCGTCGGGGGCGGCGGCGGCGGCGGGGGCGGGGGCGTCGTCGTCTTTGCTGTCGTCGTCGGCATCGGTTTCGGCGTCATCGTCCCCCCCCATCCCATATGAGGGGGGGGCCGTGGAACCCTGGGGCTCATCCCATCTGGGGGGGATGGGCCTGTGAACCCTCGACCCGGGATCATACATACTCCTGGTCGCAACAGTGAGCGCCCCATTGAAAGACGAGCGACAAATGGGCCTGTCATGCAGGGACGAAGTCTAACCGCATGTTGGAGAAGAGCCGCCTTCCATCCGAGTAGCCGTTCCAAATGTCCAAGTGATGTGTCCTGGCAAAAACCTGCAAGGACCTAACTTTCAAGAGGTGCCATGTTCAATTCACACGCATGGAAAGTTCGAATCGGACAGTCTGAGGAACTCCTAAAAATGAGACACCCTTGTTGAGGAGTCGCGCTTCCCCCGCTTAATTGCTGCAGCCTGGCATGGAGGTCGTGCGCGGCGGTTGACCGAGAAGGACATTCTGGAAATGAGATGCGCCCCAGTCGTGCAAACGCTGCAATCGTCCAAGACGAGCGTGCGGGGGAAATGCCAGCTCAGACCAGCATGCAAAACACATTCATCAAATGTTCGTGTCCGTTCGAAAGGGTCGCTCTACCGTTTGGCCAGCAGCGCGGCGCCTTCTGCGCGAATTCCGCTTTTACGCAGACAAGCGCATTGGAACTCGTCACGGATCCTCGGCGCCGCTGCTGGCCCCAAATGAGGGAGAGAAAAAAAACGCAGAAGCTGGCAGCGGGATATGTGCATGTGTGGTGGCGTCGCGAACAAGACACGCCACGCGTGATTCCATCCAATACTTGAGCGCGCCCGCAGCAGCGCGGAAGACGCGCGAACGCCACGCCAGCGATGCAAGGGCATGTTGATAGCGAGGCGGGCATGCGCGCGCAAAACAGCGCAGACAACTTCTCCCGCCACTCCCAAGATCATGCGGATCATACAGCTCATCGTGCTTACATATTCTCGCGCAAACAGCGTCTCCGATCCCGCATGCAGCTTCTGCCGCGCAAACAGCTTCTCCCGCATACAGCTTCTCCCACACACAGCTGTGCGAGCTGGCCCGCGAATTCGTCAAGCTGCGATGCGATGTCGCTCGACAGGGGCGCCTGCGTCAGCGAGCCGAACATTCTCTGCGGGCTCGACGAATTCGCAGCGCTGTGTGGTTCGGAGCATAAGTGCCCCCCTGTCCTGAATCCTGCCTCCTCCTGAACCTTCTCTCCTACTGCCTACCTCCTTCCGCCATCCCTACCACCTCTCTGCGCCCTTCCGCCTTCTTCTTCCCGCCCTTCCGCGGTTCCCCTGGACCACCCTTTCCGAGGTTCCCCCGGGCTCTCCTTCCTTTTCCCTCGTTGTCCCTGCCTCCGTCTTCCTGCCTCCCTCCTCCCTTTTCTGATGCTCCTCCTTCCATATCTGTCCTCCTTTCCCCCTCCTCGCTCCCCCGAGCCACCTCGGCCCCTTTTCCCTCCGTCCTTCCCCGTCCTCTCTCCCCCTCCAGCCTCCCCCGTCCTTTTCTCCGGAGCTCTTTGGGAATGCTATCTTCACGGACGGCTCAGGCCTAGCCCCATCCATCCCTGAACTCAGGAGATGCGGCTGGGCCGTGGTGCAGTTTGCGAGGCAGGGCATTCCGATGAGAGCAACGTTCGGGCCTTTACCTGGGCCGCTGCAAACTGTCGGAAGAGCTGAGAGGCACGCGCTCCTGATGGCGACGACTCTCTTCGGGCCCCACTTGGAGTTCGTGTTCACAGATTTGCTGGCCCTGGAGGCTGAGGCGGCCTCTTTGGGGCAAGAGTTGGAAGCAGGTGCTGCTGTCCATGCCACGGTATGGAGACGTTTACGAGCGCATGAGTCTAGGCCGCAGGTCATCTGGATCCCAGCGCACAAGAGCATCGACGAATATTTGGATCGGTCTCTGGGCCCGCTGCTCTACCTGGGCAACATGTGGGCAGACTGGTTCGCTCGACGTGGGGCTTATCAACACTCTGCGCCGAAGGTCTACGAGGAGTTAGTTCTACGAAGTTGAGATGAAGTTTGCCAAGCAAGTGGCTGCCTACATCGGGTGGGCCATGCAGCGATCGCTGAGGGAAGGGCGATGGGAACATGACATTCCAGAGGTCGTGCCCCAGCCTGTCGGCGCCCGCATCCTGCCTGT